CGATGGAGGAAATACGGTACGGGACAATCCTTGTGGCTTTCCTCAAGGCCCTACTTGTGTCGCTCTTTCCTCAGGTGATCCCAAAGCACAAATACGTCCTGGTGAAATTCGACACCCAGTACCCCTACGGGGAGAAGCAGGATGAGTTCAAAAAGGTGGCCGAGAGTTCGGAATCCAGCAGCGACTTGCTGGTGGCCGAAGTGGGCATCTCAGGTGAGATGGGACTCCCTGTCAGGTGATCCCTGCCTGGGCATACCTGAGGTCTTTGGGATGATGAGGGTGAAGAAGAAGATCTCTCTAGTTCTCAAAATTGCACAGCAAATAAAATTCATGCTGTATTTTGGTACTGTATGTTAGCTGCCTTGAGTTATTTATCCAAATAATAAAGGCAGGGTTTTTATTTATTTATTTATTTGTATCCTGCCTTTATTACTTTGACCAATAACTCAACATGTCCAACATGCCTTCCTCCTCCTATATTTTGCACAACGACAACCCGGTGAGGTGGGTTAGGCTGAAAGTGGGGGACAGGCCTAAGGTCACCCAGCTGCCTTTCATGGCTAAGGCAGCACTAGAATTCACGGCCTTCCTTTTTTTAGCCTGGTGCCTTAACCACTGGACCAAACAGGCTCTCATATAAGAAAACTATCTGGATTTACTTAATTGTCATGTGCTCAGTTTGGTACTTTCCAGATGTGGCCTCTGTATCAGCTCTAACCACTGAGCCTTCAGCCATTACAAGGTTTTGGGTGCAGGGTTGCAAATGCCCTCACTGTTCTAATGCCGTTTTTCTTCCTGGCCCATCTGTAACCTGGGTCTCATCTCAGTGGAAACCCAAAAGTTTCCAAACGCTCAACTTTCAGTCTTCATTTCTAAAAGAAGCCTCTCTCTGCTACCCTTTTAGAAGTGGAAATTCCCCTTGTGTCCCTGTTTTAAAATGACACCTGCTATTTCTTTCCACCCTGGGACAATCAAAGCAAGAGCACAAAGAGGGTGAATGCACAAGGGAGCTTGAAGTCTCCAGCAGGGTTGCACCATTTTGGCCTTGTGCTTCAGCCGGGATGAGCTTTGCAAGGAAGAAGCTGCTAGATCTCAAGGCTTCAAAACATTGGGGTTCTACCAGCTGCGTATTTTCGTCCTTCGAAATGATTGAATGTTCCTTTATATTGATAAAGGTTACAGTGATACATTAATGAAGCCAATCAAATGTAACTTAAAATTTCTGTTTATAAATTTCTTCACTTTGGCCTTTGTGAAAGCTACCTAAACACACTTATTTATTTATTTTATTGATTTATTAAATTTATATGCTGCCCATCTCTCTGACAGGGACTCTTGGTTAATCACACCTTAAGCAAGCAGTGACCTGCACACCCACTAACTAGTTATTCTTCCATTCCAAGCCTCCTGCCTGAGTTCCCGTTGCATCTCTTTACAGATTATGGTGACAAGCAGAACATGGAGTTGGGAGAAAAATACAAACTGGATAAAGAGTCTTATCCGGTTTTCTACTTGTTCCAAGATGGCGACCTGGAGAACCCTTTGCCTTACGACGGGCAGGTCAAGGCCAGTGCTCTCCAGCGCTGGCTGAAACTCCGAGGGATCTACATGGGAATGCCAGGCTGCCTGAAAACATTCGATGCTTTGGCCAGCAAATTTGTAGGTGCCGCCCAAGAACCTGAGCGGCGCCAGGCTCTCCTGGAAGAGGGCCAAGAGCATTTGGCCAAGGCCAAAGAGAGCGAGCGCAAATCCGCCGAGCAATACATCAAAATCATGGGCAAAATCCTCGCCCAGGGGGACCCGTTCATCCCCAGCGAGATCTCCCGCATCACCAAGATGATCGACGAGAACAAGATGAGCGACGGGAAGAAAGAGGAACTCTCGAAGCGCTTAAACATCCTGTCTTCCTTCCAAAAGAAGTCAAACAATGAGAAAGAGGAACTTTAACAGGGCAGGTGAAGGTGGCGCACAGTGTGGGGTGAGGTCCCAATTGGTGCTCCTCGAAGCAGGCAAAAACTTCCCCTGGCTCTTTCAAAGAGGTTGCAAAGCCCTTTTAATAGCCCCCTACCCATCCCATTCCTGGGGAGAGAATACACCCAACTTCACTAAGGGGACATTCAGAGACCACCAATAAGGTCTAATAAACAAGGCATTTTTTCAAGATGGCGACATTTAGAACTTGACCTAACTTGGAGCCTTAGCAAGCTAGTTTGGCTGGGTTGGACCCCCTCTCCTCCCTCGTTGTGGGGAATCTGAACATCCGAGAAACTGGGCTAGCCCTCTGGGTGGTTTTTGTGTGTGTGTGTGAGATAGAGCACCCTTTGGTCCAGGGGAAACGTGTTCGAGAAAGTGAAGCCAAAAGCTACACCTGTCTCTTACCAACCAGTATTCACCGAAATCAGTTTTATGGAAAGGGTACTAAATTTGATAATAAAGGTTACTGGGGAAACAAACAAATGAAGGCATTTTTCTCTTTTATCACAACTTCCTTAATAAAATGAACCCTCCTGGTTGAGCTGCTAAGAACTGAGATTGTGTTCGACGTTTAAAGTTGCACTTGAGGTTGCCAATGTGGGAATTTATATCTTTCGACCTTTCCTTTAGCAACTCTGTCTGGAATCACACACAAGCCCTCACACACACACAAACACACAACGTGTTTCTGACCAGGAAAATGTAAATGACCAGCTTGCCTTCTTTCTGACAGCCGAAAAAGCTATTGGGCCAAGTCATAATATAACTAATTTATATTATGAATACTTTACTGAATCCTTTGCAATACGATTGAATTCACACAGCATGCTGAGCACATCAAACTCTCAAGACTTGGTTCTTCCAAAGACACTTGCAATCCTTTCTTCATCAACACACAGTTTAGGAACTTCTATCACAGCTCAGGCTCTTAAAAACCTAATTTCTGTGCCCCGTTCCACTCTTTGCTACCTCCAATAACCTGAAGTCTTCGAGACGTTTCCATCTACAACTCCGCTTCTTGGGGTCTTAAAACTGGAAGGAAAGAATTGTCAATACCAGTTGGAATTGGGAGCAGGGAAATGTTCTATGCGCTGCCATTTTATTTTTCTGCATCTATTAAATAAGGCAGCACCTGCTCTGGGGAGCCCCATTCCTCCCTCAGACAGCCCAATATGACATTCCAAGGAGTAAGCTATTTTCCAGCATCGGTCTGGGACATTAGGTGAGCCTCCTTGTGCAACGGGTAGATGAACGTTGGCTTTGTATTAACCCCCCTACAGTGTTGTTTTAAAGTGGGGCGGGGCAGGTGTTTCATTGTCCAATAATGTCAGAAATATTTTACCCGCCAAACAATTTTGGGGCGTTTTTAATTAAAATTTAAGAAAACTTTCTGCTTTTCCCTTTAAGAGTTAGGGAAAACTGGTCTACAGCACCCTTCATTGTGGCTTTTCAAATAAATGCTCCGGTGAAATAGGAGAACCCCGCAGTTAAGAAAGCGCAACCAGGACGGATCTCGGATAATGACAGCCCTGGGTGGGCGCCGTTCTGGAATGGGACAAAGGCGCCTTTCTGTGCGTCCCTCTCCTCTCCACTTCAAAGCAGCCAAGTGGCAGCCAAAGGCCGCTCTTCAAAGCAGCCGCCTCCTTGGCTGACAGCCTAAATTCCTCCCTGGGCCCCCAGAGCAGCCCAAAGGGCAGGATTTCCCCCAAGGGAAGCCTCGGTTCGTTTCAGGGGACGCGGTTCAGTGGTTACCAGCCGTTGGCTCCCCAGGCCCCAACACAGGTGGCACACGGGGGCGTTTCATTCAACCAGGGTGAAGCTGCCTTAGCGGGGGCGGGGGGGGGAGGCTTCTCCCCCCACACACACACACTCACACAAAGCGGCCATCTTAACCAAGCATTTCCACACCTTGTGCCTTCCAGATGCCTCGGACGGCAACTCCCATGCTGGCTGGGAATGATTGGTCTGGTTATCCAACTCAGCGCCTCCTCTGTAAAGCTGGCCAAGGAGGTCATTAAGGTAACCCTTCCACTCTCGGCTCAAGCAAGCCAGCCAGTTCAAGACTCGGGGACTGTGTGGCCACCGAGAGAAACACGGCTCATCTTAACCTAGGGGAAGGTTACTCCATGGTTTAGGCCAGGGGGGGTCCACCTTTGGCTGCTTTTGTGGACTTCAACTCCCAGAATCCCCCAGCCAGCGTGACCCAGAAAGTTCATCCCATACCCCATTTAAAAGGAGTCCTGACTTTTGTTTCAGGTGATCTTCCGTCCTTCTGTGGATTCAGGTCGGTAGAGGAGACTAGACGGAGCTCTCACAATCAATCAATCTCTCTCTCTCTCTCTCTCTCTCTCACACACACACACACACGTCTCTTTGCAGGGCACTCAAAGTGGTTGCGAGTTTCCTCTGCCCATCAGTAGATGGAGCTGCCGTTTTGCTCTCTGGTGGAAACGCTGAGTTACTCTGGAGTAGCCCCAAATCAAAAAATCAGGTAGCGGCTCTTCGGATTCCCAGGTTTCATTCAAAGGGATCTGCTTTGGGGGAGCGGGAGACCCCTGGACCGGTTGCCTGAAGGGGCTAAAGTCAACCAGGGTTTAAACTTGGGTGGGGGAAGAAGCCCCTCCCCCGGACACTCCTGTGGCTCTCACTCTAGAGGGAAGAACCGTAGTTAAAAGGGGAGTCGGGGGCGGGGGGGGGCTCTTTCCTGGCTGCCTTTCCAACCAATTCCGTCAAATAACGGGGGGGGGGGGCGTCTTGAGCGAAGAGCCTGGAGCGGCTGGGTGGGACCTGGACCCGCTGGAAAGGGGTCTCCTCCTCCTCCTTTTCGCATCCCTGCTCTGGTCTTGCTTCCCTCCCTCCTTCACCTCCCGCCCTCCAGCTTGTTCTCTTTTCTTCCTTTCCTCCCTTCTTCCCCTCTTGGAAACCGACCGGCTGCTGGACCACCGAGTCTGCCTGCTGTGCCTCCCACCGGCGGGGGGCGGGACCAACGAGGTGGGGCGAAGAGGGAGGCTGGCCGGCCAGTCCGCAGCTGGTCCCGTTGCTGCTGCCTGCAGCTCCTTCCTTGACTTGCCAGCATGGGCTCCTTTGCCCCGGGGGCTGCCGCTCAGGAGCTTCTGCTGCCGCCAGATTGGGACAGGGCTCAGGTGAGTCGAGGAAGAGCCTGCAGAGCTGTTCGACCTGGGTGGGGGGCTCAGAGACCTGTTCAATTTCACGTACATCCGGAGGGTCTCGGGTAAGCAGCCTGCAAATAGCTTGGCTTGCAAGGATATGCCTTATCTAATTTTGCTCTTTTCCCCACCTAGTTTTTCACTGCCATCCACTGGATCCAAGCTGTCACGGCTACTTTGAGGTATTCCTGGCAGCCTTCTCTCTTAAGACATAATTGTCATGAATAAAGATAAAGATTCCCAGGAGGAGATCAGGCAGGAAATGACCTGGTTGAGGGTTTTAGGGGTTACCAAGCACGTCTCCCTTTTCTGGGGTTGCTAAAGGCCATGGAGGTATATGTTTTATTTGCTTTTGTTGGGTCACCCCTGTCTTTATTTCCAGCCCTTCTCGGACTAAACTGACTTTGCGTTTGTTAGAATAAAATGCTTACGTTGTGTTTATTAAGCGGGAATTTGCTGGGCTAAAGGAAGGTTCATACACGCTCTAAAAACGCACCAGAGCTAGCAACTTTACAAGCTCCACCAATCCGCCCCTTGTTTCCACAGCATCATGGGGTCGAGCTCAATTATCGGCTACACCATATTCCGGAATACCACCAGATCCCCTGAGGTAAGGGAAATTCCTTTGCTGATGGACAAAAAGAGAGAAGCAATAAGCAAGACGAGGCTTCCTGAAGTAAGTGGGAAGGAGCAGGGATCTTCATCAGGAATGTTTGCAATGTACAAGTACCTTTCCACTTTGCTACTAAACAAATATTAATTTTAGAAGCTAGTGGCTGAATCACAATTTACTTTTGTTTTACCAAACATCTATGGTTGCTCTACAGCCCAGTTAGTCTGTCTGTCCGTCTATCGGTATCTATCTATCTATCTATCTATCTATCTATCTATCTATCTATCTATCTATCTATCTATCTCAGTATTTTTGAACCTTGACAATTTTAGGGTAGCTGAGTAGCAGGTTTTTTTTAACTCCCCGCAATTCTCTTTTACTAAGACACACTTTGCACCGAGAGTATATCTGGATAAGAGACAGTTGAGGAAGGACGAATTGTTTTGCCATTCTAGAGTTGACAGTGCGTGGTCAATTCTCTCTGAAGTGAGAACCAGAAACTCAGACGGTCAGATTATGGTTTCCATCTATCCTTAGATCTCCAGTGTTTGTCCTAATGCAAGGCTACAAATCACCAGAGGGATTGCTGGTTTTGATCTTTCCACAGGTGCGCCCTCTGGTCTACCTGAGCCTCTCCGATCTCTTTCTGGGGTTGTGCTGGCTCACGGGGGCCCTCTTCTACAGCAGAGAAGCATCCCACCCAACTAGAGAAGGCACCATCTGCTACAACTTGCAAGCCACTGGACAGGTGAAACCTCCGTTGATCTCCAGCTCCTTGGTGGGGTGGAAAGGGTGTCCTTTTTGAGGTGGGCTTCAAAGAGGGTACAGAGTGTGGACTGGTGGAATAGCCACATATGGAAGAAGCCATCCAGTTGCTTCCCTCTGTTGCCCGTTGTTCAATCTTTAAGCTTGATGAGTTTTGCGTTGGGGTTGAGCTGCCATGTTGAGTGGGTAAAAGCTTTAGAGAAGTATATGGGATCAAAGGCATCAAGGACATACAGAGCGGAGAGGCAAAGTTTCTTTGGAAGATGCTAGATATCTTTTCCCAATTGGACTAAGACTCCAGAATTCTCAGCCAACAGGCCTAAGATCTGGGAATTGTGACATGTGCCGTCTAAGCACAACTGGAGACGGTTAGAGAAAGCTGTGGTTTAGATAGAGCGCGTGTGTTTCCCTTTTAATTTGACAATTGGATATATAAAAAACCCTGTATTATTAATAAGCTTTTTTCCTTCGCTCTCTTGTGACGATGCCAGCCTATGAATGCTTCTTACAGAGCTACCGATTCTGTTTTGCACCCTCGGCTCACTTGTGTGTATTTTCCTTTGCTTGGAGGGCAAGTTTGGGTCCAGGTTGCCATTTCATGGTTCCGTTCCTGAAAAGGCAATTCCAAACCACCACAAATACTGTTTATTTAGTGCTGCTTGGTTGCTTTTCTTCTTTGATTCTGTTTTTAAAATGGCTTTATAATCTACCCCATAATCTACCTATAATATTGGTTATTGTGCCAATTAGCAGTGTAATAAACAGCAAAACTCGTCTGTATTATTGATCCCTTGGAATAGTTATCTTTGGGTCCCTCTCAAGAGAGAGAGAGAGAGAGAGGTTGGTGTTTGCCTGTTTCACAAGATGTGTGGCTTGGCAGGTGTATTTGGGAACTTGAAAAAGCCCAGCCAATTCTCAAAGTAAAAAATCCGTTTGCAAATATAAATCATCGGGCAATGAGGCAATGATGCTGTCACTCGAGTTCACAGAGCTCTGATTAACCCCTAAACCTACTGGACAGATCAGGGCAGCAGAAAGATTTAATTCTGTTTGATCCACTTCACCCTCTTCCAATATGTTTTTCAAGCTATTTGGGAACACAAAAGCACAATACAAGGATAGGGAATATAAAGGATGCTATTACAATGTTTTTATGTGGTATTGTTAAGGATATTTATTTAGAAGGCATCCCAGTATCCCTGGATTACATTCTGTTTCATCAACCTTATAGAATATGATTTATCTAAGTAACTTTGATTCGACAAACAAATCCAACGTTTCCCACACGTAACGGACTTGAAAAACAGAGTGGAAACCGGAAGGGTGGGGCTGCAATGAGATCTTCCAACTTTGTTCCTCCTGGGATCCTTGTCCGAAAAAAACCAACCAACCCCATACGAATTGGGATAGCTTTCCCGAATTAGGCTCCCTTTACGAAACCAAACAAATCCAGCAACTATTTACAGTGGGAGAATGAAGGTGCAAACGTTGTGATTTTGTTTTGTTGTTTTTGAACCGCTACTTCACGTTTCATCGGCCGTGCCAGGAAACGGCATCTTCCTGTTTCTGTGAGTCTTCCCATGTGAAGTGGAAAAACCAAACCACACGCAGGGCTTTAGTGGGGGAATCGGCTCCTTCTGGAGCTGTTTATGCTTGGTGACAAAGTCAGACGTACATACGAATTATGTAAAAGAGGACAGAACCACACCCACAAAGGGAGGCACAATCCTAGGCTTCCTCTCTTTGTGCCGTGGTAGTTGCCCTTTCTGGATTTTAACCCCAGGACAAAATCAAATCTGCAAAAGGTTATTTTCGAGAGCGGAAATAGAGAGGAGGTTGGAGAGAAAGTTATTGTGGGGTGGGGGTTGTTTACAGGCCCAGGGGCTTCCCCCTTGCCATCCACTACTTGCCCCGCTCCCCACGGCCATGTTCAGTTCTCAAACTATCCCAGATTTCCAAAGGCAGATTTAATGGAGGACTGATATCCTTTGTTCTTGTTTGTTCTGCTTCTCAGATCTTCTATGTCGCCTCTTTTCTGTACACAGTGAATTACACCTGGCAGCTTTACATGGATTTGAAAGGGAAATTCAACCAGCACTTACATGGCCAGATGCCACAGGTAAAAAGGTGCTTTCGTGGTGACTTGGATATCTTTGAGTCCGGTCTCTCCTTAAAAAGCCAAGCATGATGTGGATCCCAAGTGCGTTACAAATGGAGCCTATATATATATATATATGCTATTTGAAGGTCAGCAAGATACCCAGATGGGTTGAATTAGAAACCTGGTTCTTGAGGTTGCATTTTTGCATACTTGGAAATATAATTCAGGGACAGGTAGCCGTGCCAGGCAGCACCATGCTGTCATTCTCTTGAGAAAATCATTGTCTCATTAGCCTCTGAATGAGACCTGAAGTCCACAGACCACCGAAGAGGGCAGAATGTGGGGTTTTCCAGCTGTGGCCATCACAGCCAGATGTTGGTGGTTTAATCTGGAAAATGTATTGCTCCCCAATAAAAACACTTAAAATCCCGTGGGTCACAGGGGACGTGAATTAGGTGGGCATGAGGCATTTCTCAACTCAACTCGTGTCTTCCAGCTCAATAGATTGCAACTGAGCATCTTTTCAGCACAGGTCTGAAGGCTCTAAGGTAGAAGAACACCGCTCATTCCAGAAGATGGCAGAAGGTTTTCACAAGGTTTAAAGATGGGAAACGCCTCTTAAGAGAATAACTTGTAGGGTGAGAAGGAGAGGAGCACAAAAGGATGTTTGTAATGGTGGGAAGGAAGCGTTCGAGATCTGCTCACTTTGTCCCTGTGGACATCACAGGGTGTTCTGGAGGCCAAACTCCAGTGACGAAGCCAAACCAGGCAGAAGCCAACAAGGGCCAGGACCAAAGCCAATTTGACTGAATTGCATGGAACTCAAAGAAACTGAATCCACTTAAAATGATGACTCCTGTGTGGAGGCCATTGAGATTTGGACTTCTTCCAGAGAAGGCCACACCTTTTCTGCTTCAGCTTTGGTTCCCACCTGAACAGGATCAGCAGGTTTGGGGGCTGTGCAAGGCCTTCGCCAACACCTGCTTGATAAAGGGGACCAAGGAAAAAGGCAGGTGTCCCAGACAGGGATGGACTCTGTTTTTTAAAAATTATTCTTTCAAGAACATTTTCAGACGCGGCCTTCAGCGGAAACCCTTTCCACCAGCAGGGCCAGCCCTCCAAGAAAGAGCTTGCAACGCCCTTTGAAAACTAATGGCTATTTGCTCATGTTTGCTTGTTCCAGGAAGCCCTTATGAATTTGAAGAGAAAGGCATGGCGGGAGGGGTAGCTGTGTTAGTCTGGTCTCTGTGGCCATCCACTTCATCAGGAGGACAGAACTCGATCTGGGAACGGCACATCTTGTCCCCAGACAAGAGATCACTGTGAGATCACCTCAACCATCTGGTCAATTCCAGCGTTCTTGGAAAGCTCCTTCCTTTGAAGGCTGGAAGAAATGTGTCCTATGGGGTTAGGACAATGGCTGGGTCACCCCGCAAACATAAAGAGGATGATTTTTGTCAGGAAGAAGGAGATTTCTTCCTCTATTTGTGTGTGTTTGTGCACATGAACACATCAGTACATGCCAGTGAAATAAATTAAACATCGATGTGTACAGGACATACCAGGTATAGAATGAATCCAGGATTGGTTTGACTTTGATTCGCCTTCAAGTTTTTAAAATAATAACTTCTTGATGGACTGGCTTTATCCTTGCTTCACTGTTGTGAGCAAAGTCTCATTCTGAAACTAACACATCAACAGCCTCCCATGCTTCGATTCTGATTATTTTAAGAGTTTCCCTCCCCCAAAACAATTTCAGGGAAGTTTCTGTACGCATCTTATTTCCTCTGTCCTGCATCCACTTTATTTTATTTTAATTCATTCCAACTTCTGAATCTTCGGCACAAACCTCTTCAAATTATGGAGCTAAACCTCTGTCGTGTCTTCTCTTTCCCCCTTTTGTAGATGTTGAAGTATTCAACTCACCTTGGCCGAATAGCTATCGTTTTCTCTAGGTAAGAGTAACCTCCCAAATGCCGCTGGGTTCAGAGGGATTGGGAGGGGAGGGGAAGGGAGGGAGGGAGGGGGAAGCAGTGGAGATTATCCTCTCCTACTTGGAGAAATCTGGGTGAGCTGCCCAGTTTGATCTGGACAGACCCCTGCTAGGCCAGTAGGCCAGTAAAAGCAGCTCTGGAAGGTGAGCTGGCCTTTTCTCGGGGGGATTCCAAGACCTTGAACCCGAGACTGTCTGATTTTTTCTCTTCCAGTCTCATCCCGATATTCCTGATGGCGCCTGTTTTGGGACTAGGCAACCACTTTCAGTGTTCTCAGAACTTCACCGCCGAACATGGGTACAACAATCTGAACGTAGTACATTTTGCCGAGCCCAGAGAGTCGGGGTGGCATGTATCTGGACTGAGACTTTGTCCTACAACGGCCAGTGACTCCCAGAGGCCCCCTAGGGCAGAGGTCCCCAAACTTGGCAACGTTGAGACTTGCGGACTTCCCAGGCTGACTCCTTTGCTTCTGTTTGGTCTACAGGTGCCTCCTGTTGCACATGGAAAACATGCTCAGCCCCAGATCCCAGCATGTCACCTGCACCGTGCTGTGCTTGTACAGCACTGGAGTTTTCCTGGTCTCGTTTACGGTCAGCTTCCTTGCAATTCTGGTAAGAGGCAGCCTAAGGGGCGCCCCTCCTTCTGTGTTTGGAAATCCTTCAGCACTTGGGAAGGGGCAGTTCAGGAGAGGTGCGCATGCTTTCAGTTGCGAAGCCCACAAATCAGGCTTCCTTTCCCTGCCCCGGTGCTTGACGTGTGATGCCTTCCAACTGCTACTGCATTCCTCTCCGTTAGAGCAAACCGTTTCCTGACGCTGATTTAAGGCATCGCATTTGGACCGCGTGTGGAGCTGTGTTTCCACACCCCAGACTCCACCTTCCTGTATAAATCTCAGCTTGTTTTTGTTTCCCTAATGGTAAACAGACGGACTTCAGAACAAGCACAGACTCTTTGGGGGGGAAAATGCCAGGCAAAACGAATAGAAACACTTGAACTGCTGACTGGGCACATCTTAGATTGTCTGGCTGCTGGTTTTAGTTAGGTAAATTAGATCAAGAGAGGCTGTCGGTGGCCTGATTCACACAACCCTTTAAGCCGTTATAATATATGACTTTGTTTTGGTTTAAAGCAGGGGTCTCCAACCTTGGCAACTTGAAGCCTGGCAGACTTCAACTCCCAGAATTCCCCAACCCAACAAAACTGGCTGGGGAATTCTGGGAGTTGAAGTCCGCCAGGCTTCAAGTTGCCAAGGTTGGAGAGCCCCGCTTTAAAGCGATGTGGAAACTACCTCTGGTGGTTTAGAAGCCATGGTTTAGGCCTTATTGCCTTGTGCAGGGCCAGTCAGGTGTAGTTTAACCCACAAACCATGGTTACGTAACCCCTAGCCTGGTGGAAGAAGGGAACCCAGACCAGGCATGGGCCTGGATTTAATTCCTCCCAAGGCTGAATGCAGCCACCTCCCTTCCACCCTCTCCGCCGTCAAGCACGAACCCATCGCTGAGACCTTGCTTAGATCTTTCTCCTTCTTTAGACGTTGCTCATCCGAGCCAGGATGTTGTACAAGCGGTTTGTGAACTCGATGGGCTACGTCGGCGACCAACAGTGGGAGATGTTGAAGGTGGTGGAGCAAGCCGTGGCTCTGTACCCTGTGGTGTTTTTCTGCTGCTGGGGCCCAGGTATGGAAAGGCCGAGGGATGTGGTCTGCGGGGAAGAGACAGCACCTCCGTTTGCAAGCGGGCCCTTCCAGATCTCAACCTATCCGAGGCCAGGACCCCTCCCGTTCCGGGAGTTGAAGTCCACAAGTCTTAAAGTTGCCAAGTTTGGGGACCCCTGTCTTAGGGGAACCAACCTTGCTTTTCTGAGCTTCCCAGACCCTTTTAATTATTTTAAAAAATTAATATATGCAGAGATGTATCTGGTAGTCCAGTTTGGAATTAATGGGATTTGGGATAGTTAGTTAGGAATTGAGAGCTGTCCCCTTTAGGGAATGCATCATGGTAAATGTAGTTAAGGTATCCTGGGAAACGTAGTTCATGTCATGTGGCCATATCTATAACCCTGATTGGTCACTGAATTGACCCTTGGTGGGTTGGGGGAGGTTTCTTCACTCTTGCCTGAACACAGCCTCATGGTAGCATCTCTACCCCCTGCTTCTACGATATGGGATGAAAGGGATAAGAGATAACCATCTTTTTACCCAGAAAGTCGGGTATGCAAAGGATTGGACATTAAGAGGAATCTCGTCATAACTGTGAGTCGTTGAGGATGCCTGATGAACCAATCAAAAACACTTTGTATGGATGCTTTGTGGAGTTTATCTATCTGAACAAGTCCTACCACGCTTACTGTGTTTATTGTTACTGATCTTCTTCTGCCGTTTCTTCCATCCGCAGCCTTTATCCTCGGCATAGTCAAGCTGGCACGTATAGACCACGCCAGCGTTTACATGGCCCTTTATGTTCTAGAGGTAAGCATCCCTTCAGCCATGCACCCCCAGAAGAGCCCCCAGGGCGCCTTCTCTCCGTGCGCAGCACTCATTGCTCAGTGCTGGTTGGGGGGACTAACCTTTGGTGGGAAGGTTGGCTTCTTGTCTGCTGCTTCTGGACCGCCCCAAGCAACTCCCGTCTCACGCTGGGCCACTTCCCTTCTCCACTCAGGCCCTGACCGCCTCTTCCCAGGGGTTCCTGAACTGTGTGGTTTACGGCTGGACCCAGCACATGTTCCACTGTGTGAAACGCAAGGCTTGCCGTGATGTCGACACCCAGACGCCCCTCCTGCGCTCCCAGAAGAGGTTCTACGCCAGCACCCTCCCAGCCCGCCCGCAGGCGGTGGCTGAGCCCTCCTCCCCTTCCACAACCACGGTGTTATGAATGGGAGGCGGACCTTCGAACTCTCCTCTTCCACCTGTCCTGCCTCGAGGCTCTTTGCTCAGCAAGGCCGGCTTTGCTTTCTACATCCTGCAGAGATGACCCCGAAGCTCACAGCCTGGGTGAGAAAGGTGGCCGTCAACATGGACCAGTGGCAGAGGCGCGAAATGAAAGGGCTACCTTGGAAGGGCTGCAAGAGAATCGAAGTGCAATTGGACAAGAAGAAACCGAAAGACTCCTTAGATTGAAATAATCACTATTTATTTGAGGGAATCAAAAATATTGGATAGGGTGGAGACGACCGCCTTTTTGGACTGCCTCACGTTTCCCCCATGAGACGGTTTTCCCAGGATTTTCCAAAGGGTGGGATACAGCATCACCAAGACCTGGAATGCCCCCAGTGTGGTGTCACCACCCTAGAATATTTTTTTTCTTTCAGTGCTGCTGATGGAATATTTTACAACTTCCTGCTAAACTGTAAAACATAAAAGCAAGTGTATGGATGGATTTCTGTTCCTTTTGATTCCGGGATTGCTAAGAGGCACACCTTCCTCCTCTTACTACTGTTTCAACGCCTCCCCAAAATTATATATAGAAATAACGTCCTCCCTTCACCCCAACTGACCCGCAGTCTCATGGCTTCCAGAATTCCTGCCCCCTGCCTCCAAAACCCCTGTAAAACTGAAAAGCCTCCGCTGCACAATTTTATCTCCTTTTTCCAGGCCTCGCAGAAATCCTTTTCAATCTTATGCCCTAAGATCCCTTCACTCTCACTGCAGAGATGACTACGCTGAGCAGATGATCTTAACCAGCATTCTTAGAGTTAGACCTCCTTTCAGTGGTGCCTGGGGATTTGGGGAGTCCCAACGCCTTGCCGGAGGCCGCCTTACTCCTTTTTTCTGTTGTTGTTTACAAATCAGTTACTCGTTTCCCCTTTTTTTCCATTCGTTCTCGTGTCTGGCCTCTCTCAACCGGGCCTGCTCTGTAAAAGTCAGGACAGAAGTTTTCAGTGGTCTGAAAATGAGGATGAAGACGTAGGGCATTAAGGTTCATCTGAAGCCAGACATGGGAGGGGAGGGGAGGGAGGACCGTCATCTGGATCTGAAGCTCCTCCAACCACCCTCTCCCCTTCCAAGCCTTTGGAGTTGGTTTTCCTAAAGTTGGGGTTTTGAGGTCACCAGCTGTGCACACTGGCAAGATACGAGAGGGGAAATGAACTGGTTTTATACCTTCTCTGAACCTCAAGTTTCTCCTGCCCTCTTTTTCTCCTAACATTTTAAAGTTAGTTCTCATTTCATTTACATAGATGTTGAGTTGCAACCAATGTGTATTTGACTTAAGAAGTGCAGGGTACCTAAAGATAAACCTGAGTGCTGCTGAACGGGTACTGCCTGATTGTTCGTTTGTCTTAGTGCCCTATGGGGTTATCTCAGCCCCTGGAAGAGGCTGGTTCAAGGACTTCAGTCCCCCCCCTCGTTCCCGCTAAAGTCTCATCTTAGTAGCTTTTGTAGCCAAGAAGAGATGATCTTTTGGGGATCCCTCCCTTCCGTCACAGAGCTATCTGGAGTCGTACCGAATAAATTCCTGCTTCTTGCACTTCCTGACATTCGGAGTCATGTAAGAAGAGGCATTGTTTAGTGCGACACATTCACAAGTTTGATTTGTAAGTGATTTTATTACCTGCCCTCACTCCACCCACCCCCCTTTCCCTTTCCCCTTTTCAATAGGGGAAAGTATTGCGTTGGATTTGATGTTCCAGCGATCCAAACTGTCTTAGCAAAGCCATTCCGTTTTTGCTCTCAGTGCTTGTTCCCACGTTGGAAAGTTCTGAGTTTTATCTGAACAATGGCCGAGATTGCTCACTTTATGAACATTAGATGAGCTTGTTGCAAGAGAAGCTAATTTTTGGCGTGAATTTCTGTGGGCCTTCTAGGGAGCCTCAACCGGCCCCCTTACCTGGGTGTCTGTTTTTCCCATGGTAGGTTTCCAACACCTCACAAATGGTCCCAGGAGCTCCCACACCTTTGGAAAGATCACAAGAACAGCGGCGATAATCAACATGCAAAAAGGAATGATGGTTCCCAGGACGTACTTTGCCAAGGAGTCACCCCAGGCGATCACAGGAAACCCTCCATCGATGCTCCCTCCTGCACCCCAATACTTGCAGTTCGGAGGGGCCCATCCACTATTGCAGTGGCATTTGTGAAGGTTGTTGCAAACGCCTCTGCCTTGGCAGGTTTTCCGCGGGTCGCAGGTCAAATTAAGTGCGGCTTTGGGGACGCATGTGTGATTGATGCACACTTTGTACGGGTCACACACGATGCCGTTCGGGACGGACCCGATGTCCTGGTGATGGATTTCGCCGTCTTGTGAAATGCTCCAGCACATATTCTCTCGCACTGCAATCTTATGGAACACCACGTCTTTCAGGTCCGGCAGAGAATTCACATTTACACACTGAACTTTTCCGCACATGCTATGAATAGGATGGCATTTCAAATATTCATTCCTGGAAGAATCGATGCCGCAGTTGCCGTAGGGAGTCCCGAGGGTGTTCAGAACGAGGTAGCAGCTCTCGTGAGCTGATCTGGACTGCCCTCTAAAGATTCTGCGGCACAAGAAATCGTGATTCCAGCACCTCTTTTTGTAACAGTAAGAAGAATATTTGCTACAGGGTGTTCCGTCCTGCAGGTACAAGTCCTTTGGGCACTGTGCAGACTTCCCGTCACAGTATTCGGGGAGATCACATTCGTTGGCTTTAGCCCGGCATATTTCTCCTTTGGGAATGAACATACATTTCCGGCAACATTTCCCTGCTCCACAAATGGCATTTTTCTTCAAAAGACAATCGGGAGTGCAGCAAGGATCGTTCCTGCATGTGTTTGGTTCCCCACAGTCACATTGTTCACCCATATCCAAAACCCCATTCCCACAGAGCTTAAATCTGGAAGATATCTCAGGGACGTTTAGCAAGCAGCCCAAGAGGCCCTGTTGGTGAAGATCTATGAATTCCAGAATGCTGCAGTTACTGAACAGGTTAACAGGGGCGTGGTACGTGTGCATAATACAGCTGGTGTGTTCGCCACAGACACAGTAGGAGTCGTCATGGCTCATCCCTATATGAGAGGCCAACTCGTGAGAAAATCCGCTTGCAAAGCGGGTCAGCTCGTTCGGGAGGTAGACTTGGAGTCCTGCTGAAAAATGTGGCTCGCAAATAGCAGAGTAGTAGGACTTTCCAAAGACACCTTCGAAATTCTGCGAAAGGAACAAGAAGGCCGTGTCGTAGGCTGTCCTTTGGGCCATGTTGGTTGTTCTCCACTTATTGAAATTTTGAAGAACTTTTGAGATGTCTGTGGAAATTTCTATTAAGTTGTTTTCAGTCCAGATCTCAAGTCCAACTAGGACGAGGTTTGTCTTGAGACTCTGAAAGGTGGCATCCGCAATGTTCACCACATCCAGCACTACCGTTTGCACTCTGCTGACATTATTTGCTTCTCGGGCAAATACGTTTTTGTCTACTACAATATATAGTTCTATATATTTGGGGAAATGTTCGTACTGGAGATAATTGTACACCGTTCTGGTATGTCTGGTCTGCAGGTTTTTTGCTTGGTGCTTTGTTCTTTCCACCCTTGTTCTGTATGATGAGAAAATAGGCTGTGATTCTTCGGAGAGGTAGAGAAAGTGTTGGAAGGTGGAGGAATTCTGCAGAGGCTCAATGCCATAAGTTCTTGCACCAATTTTCAATATACCAGTGAGACCACAGCAGGTCCTAAGAACTGCAAGGGAATTAACTACACCGTCCACATAACCTTGATGGTAGCATTCAACGGGCAGGTAGGGATGGCTCTCAATGAGGTCCCCCTTCGAATTATACGTGAAGACTGGAAGGTTTTTAGCTAGGAAATGCTTGGGGGGCTTGAGTCGGATGATGTAATCCCTTCCTGCTACCTTGATGACGTAAGATATTTCATCCTTTGTCTTCCCTCCTTGGGCTGCTAACCGTCTTGGGATTATTATCTCATAAGAGGAATATGCCGGAGGAAGCAGTGAGCTGCAACGAATGGTGGAAAGGTTGAAGACCACCAACACAATGCAGGTTGCCAACGGGAGGAAAAACCAGCACCCAAGATGTCTACCCACACTTGACATGATTCAGCTGTGTTGAGTTTCACGCATCCTTTCCTTGGAGGCGAGATTGATGTGGACATCCAGTGGAAAAAAGGCCAAGGGTTGGCTTGTGTGAGTCAGTTAGTTTTGTGAGAGCTTACTTCAGTTCATCACCATCACTTGCTTGAGCCATCAAAATTCTTCAGGCATGTCCAACTTTCTGGCTTGGTGGCCATTGTTACTTAACGAGAGAGCTAAAACAGAGAGGACACTAGGGAAAGCGGGGACATCTCAAGAGCTTCGGACCCTTCCTCTTCTCACTTGTTCTGGATGAATCTTGTAAAGATCACAGCAGCCAAGAATGAACTCTCCACTGATCCAACGGGCCTTCTCCAGTGGAAGATTCTAGAAGGCAACTGTTTCTCCGGCCTCTTTAAATGTGAACATTCCATGTAACCCCCCTCCAACAAGAGTCTTCCCAGAGTTACTGAACAGCAAATTTCAGGGTTGAAATTGTGGACCAAGCTATACCTGGATCTTCTCTTTTTATTTCAAAAATTGGATGGCATCCTTGCTCTTTTTCAAATTTCCAGTTCTGCCTTTGAGGATCTAGTCAACCCTTTCCAGTTATTCCATGGCCTTGTGAGATGAAATAATCAAAGGGGCTGGCTCATTGTTATTCATGTGGCCCAATCTATTTTATGCCTTCCCTAATTGGTACAGAATTGACTATAGAAAGACAGGTGCCCACAAGGCAAAAGAGTATCAGCTGTGCTCATCCATGAAGAAACAGCTACTACGACGACTCTCAGTCTTTTGACTTAGATTAAGGAGCTACCCAACAAAACTCAAGGGCAGAAATGTTATGCAGACAGGCAGGCCATGGCCTTAAGCGATGCAAAATCGATTTCACTTGCAAATTCACTCTGAAAGAATCAATGCTGTAAGACAGCAAAGACACAACCGGGTTACCTGCCAACTGATATTACCTTTAAAAAAACAACCCCAAACTCGTTGACATTTAAAAAAGACATTAAAAAAACTTGAGGCAGAAACTTCGATAAATTTTACTAAAATTATTTTATGTACACCAATGCATAATATTTACATTCATATAATACTGATTCGAAAAACAAAACCGTGATACAGCAAAATGCTTGAAAGTGAGGAAAGCAAAACGACCATGAGGAAGGCGGGACGGAGCCTAACAGCTGAAGTCGGCTACGCTATGGCCGAAAACATACATGCGCAACGCCATTCCCGCTCTCAAAACACCTTCTCGTGGATTCTGTCTCTAAGGATCAACAATCATCGCCGGAGGTTTTGCCCCTCATCAGCAAGAGTGCTGATTTTTCCTTCCACAGGTACAAGAAAGATGGAGATGAACATGAAAACCTTTGCAAGGGAAGCCCAGTAAAATCCAGGACCATCGAGTGTTTTTATAGAAGATGCTTCCCGCCACCCTGCCTACAGAGGAAAAGTGGTGACCACAGCTATTCCCCACCGCAGCCTCCCCAAAGCTGAGTCGAGCCAGAGAGAGAGATTGAGAGGTTCTCCTACTTTCACCGAGAATTAGCAGTACATGCAACAGATGGAAAGAATCATTGATCCAAAGAGCCCAGAACCTGAGCCACACCCAAACGAGTAACGATGGCAGGACAAGAGAAAAAGTTAAAAAATAATAATCTCAAAAAATTATCAAGACTAGTCGAACAAAAATTAAATAAAACCAAGTAAGTATTTCATCTTCAGCGTCATTTTCTGACAGCAGTCTTGGCTTCCCTGTCATCTTCATAAAAGATGAAACTGGTTGGAACGGGGTGGGTGGGGTGGGGGGGGCTGTCTTCTGGGAGCAGCTGTGTGTGGATCCAGCCCCTCCCCGTGGAAAGCGGAGACCACCAGGGAATTATTGGGATTTCTGATCCTGCCTCAGCTGGAGGACGACCGGCTGGGGAGACTGAGGCAAGGCCAAGAATGACTTTACATACGGTACTTCTACAAACAGGAGGACCCCACGGCTGTGGTCGGTTACTCCCATCAGCCAAAGTCCAACCCTTAAAAACTGATCGCAAGCTAGAGAAAAGAGAGGAAGGGAAGCCTCAGAAAGAAGAGGCTTATTAAATACTTTCCAAGCCATGAATGCCGCTTGCCGCAGAAAAACCAAACGCCACCTCACAGGCCTCCTTGGTGGGGAAAGCACTGTATGTACAGAAGGACCAGAGCGCTCTGCTTCAGAGTGACTGAAGAAATTAATTGCAGCAGGAAATTATTGACAAGCTGGGGCTAAACTTCACCTTCTGCAGAGCAGGAGAAACATTTCCCTACTTCTGCATTGGTTTTTTTCTAGCCGAGGACTTTGTTTCCCCATATTAAAAGGCTCCTTCTCTGGTGTGGCATCATTTATCCTTGTGGGCATCTCCAAAGAACGTTTTCCCCATCCCGTTTCTTTGCACGTTAGCAGACCAGATGGAAAGTCCTGAGATTATCAACTGAACGGGCACTACAGACAAGAGATTCCGGCTTTCCGGATGTTAGCTTTCCTAACAGCCCGCCCTCCTGGCGGCAAAATCTTCCTGTTAAAAACTAAAGAACTAAAAGCAAGACGAAAGCCAGAGGCTTGCAGGCCTTCCCATCAAATGGCTCTCGATAAAAACTGCAAGAATGCAACCAGCAGCCGCCATACACAAAGTCCACAAGAAAAGCATTCGAGGGATGAGCCCAGAAAGCAGAAATAGAAGCCGGGCAAGGATGATATGACCAACAGGAAGGATTAAAAACAAAAAACAAAAAAAACCACCACCACCCCAGAAATAGCAAACCACAGAGTCGTGGTGGCCAGTGAGAAGCCCGCATATAACCTCGGATCGGCATTTCAGCAGCCATGGGGGGCGCAAAGGGAACGATACTGGGGTACTTCTGTGGGGCTGTGTCCCCAGGTTTCCAAGGCAAGTCTGTTGCCAGAGAGAACACCTTCCTCTCTTGGCTGAACCGGTAAAAACCCACAAGCTACCATTTCTGTCCTCCTTTGCTTCGTGGTACAAAACAGAGGAAAAGGTAACCCTTGGCTCGAGAAAATAAGTCTCAAGAGCACACAGGGCTATTTTTTAAACGATCACCACTTTTTATAGGGCTGCCTTGAATCACCAAGCAGCTGAGTTGCCCATACTTCTCTGGCTGGTTTCTTCAAGTAATTTATTGAGCGGAAGGCCAACGGAGACCCCCAGAACCGAGCTGGTGCCCTACAGGTGACAGGCAGCTGGAGAGATATTGCCTCATCTGGATACTCAGGAGAACACAATCATTTGCCCCATTTAAAATCATGAATGAAGGCCTACGTAAAAATCATGTAATATATAATATATATATATATATATATAATTTTGAGGAACCGAGTTTCTTAAAAAAATATTACAGTACCAATGATTCTCATTATCTACATCTATACAGCATTTCTCAAGCTGCGTGGAAATTTAATGAAATAATTATGACTTATTAATTTACATAAAAAATACCTTTTTACAGTTTACAGCAGCCTTGCTCAGCTGGGTGCTTTCCGCCCTTGTCATCCCAAGCCAGAACATCTGGGAAGGCGCCCAGTTGGGCAAGCCTGCTTTAACAGATAATTCACAAAGTGGTCTTTTTTTAAAAAAAGGAAAAGAAAGAAAAAATGGGTGAGAGTATGTGTGATTTGATAAGAACAAGCAGCTCTGACTACTGCGACTCGTGGGCGGCCGTCTGCTCTTCAATGACTTGCTTCACTATTTCTGCCAGTTTTAGCCGGTCCACTTTGTCTGTAAATCCTCTACCTAAAAGTGGAATGAAGTGAACTTAGATTAGAATTATTTTATTCTTTTATTGGCCAAGTGTGGTTGGACACACAAGGAATTTGACTTTGGTGCAAATGCTCCCAGTGCACATAAAATAAAAGAAACAACCGTCAAGAGTCAAGAATCATAAAGTACAACACTTAATGATCGTCATAGGGTACAATAAGCAATCAAGTCATACTAGGAAGCAGTCCATATAAATCGTTAGGATACAAGCGACAACGTTACAGTCATACAGTCACAAGTGGGAGGAGATGGCGATAAGGAGCGATGGGAGAATTCATAGTGATAGTAGTGCAGACTTTGTCAATAGTTGGACAGTGTGGAGGGAATTATTTGTTTGGCAGAGTGATGGCTTTCAGGAAAAAACTCTCCTTGTGTCTAGTTGTTTTGGTGTGCAGTGCCCTATAGCGTCATCTTGAGGGTAGGAGTTGAAACAGTTTATGTCCAGGATGTGAGGGGCCTGTGGATATTTTCCCAGCCCTCTTTTTGTCAAAAGCAATCAAGTGAAAAACAGAAATGGATGAAAAAAAGAGCCTGTCGGAACACATTTCTTGATCAGGACAAGAATGAAGGCCGGAAAGGGAGACAGGGTGACCCCAAACAGGAGCTGTAGGCTAGAGGGAAAGGGAGACCCTTCGGAATCAGTTTGCTTGCCAATCATCACTGAAAGCTGGCAGGACTTTAGAAAGAGATCAGACTAACAAGAGGTGTTTGCTCCAGGTTACAAATCTAAAGTTGCTCTGGAACCCCTTCCTCCAATACCTGCGCAATTCTAGAATCCTGTAACAATTACAACTAAACTAGATTTCCTCCAAAAAAAACCCAAACCCCAACCTCTTAATTGCTGTCAGTTTTCACCCCCCCCCCATGACACAAGCCCCCTTCTCAGGATAAGTGTGGGGAGGAGAGACTTCATTCTTTGCTTGTGCTGTCGTGACCCTTAAACGGATCTGGATTACTCACCATTCCAGCTAAAAGTCTGCAGGGTGTCTCTGAGTAATTTACATTCCCGGTTATACTTCCAGGCTTCCTGCATAACTTCGTTCAGTTTCTCATCTTCATTTTCTCCTGGTCCAGAACAGAGAAAAAAGAAGAAAAGAAAAAAAATCTCCTGAGCATTCTAAGACTTTTTTTATTGACAAGCTGGAGTTATTTCAAAACCATTAAAACTTGAACTTTCGTCTGGGAGATGCAACAGAAACGGCTGTCAAAATCAAAGCTGAAGGAAGGTTGAAGAAAAGAAAGACCAGGTATTTGGATTCGCGCAATTATTTTACTGCCCCTCTTCCGAATACTCTGAGAGGCTGCGGAAAGCGGGAAGACAGTGAACAACCACAAGTGGTCAGAAGAGGGCAGGATAAGGGATCGGAGAGGGAAAAAGGATGCCGTGAAGGTGTTGGAAAGGGGAGAATCCGTGACTTAAAGTCCCATCCAATCAAGAGTTGGTTGTTTTCAGTGAGAGTCTGCCATCCTTTCCCTCTGAGGGCTCTGCCTGGTTCCTGTTATATTGTGCTTCCATGTCTAGAGAAATATCCCCCCACCCCACCCACCCCCAGGCATCTTAAAATTCTTCTTTGAAACAAAGAACTGGGCGTTAAAAAAAATATTTGCCGTTACTCAGATTGTTTGCAAGTTAATCATCTCATACTTTTTCTTGACCCGCCTCAAAATCTAGCCAGAACAAAACACAGAAGTTCATTATTTTAAAGTAAAAAATCAAGAGTCCAGCACCCTGGTCTGTTAACCAAGGCCAAGAGCAGGAATTTTGATTTCCAGATCACCCGGGCGCTTTTGCTGGAGAAAAAGCTTGAAAAGGACTCGGCAGCTGCAGCACCTCTCCACCCACCATGCCCCCCCAAAAGCGTCTCATCTTAGGATCTGCCACCTTTACCAGCCTGTGGCAGGATGCACTGAGCAATCACATCCCGTAGCTTCTCCAGAGCAACGTTGGAGTCCTTGCCGCTGTTCTCAGGGTCATGGATGTACACACTTTCCTTTGGTTTTGTTCTGCAAGGAGAGAGAGCGCGCGAGAGAGAGAAACATGAATTGTGCTAGAGCAAGTAACACAGCAGATTCAGGGACACCCTCCTCCTCCTCCTCCTCCTCCTCCCAGTTAGCCTTCTGAACAACATTAGCCTGTGCTGAAAACAACCACCACAACGAAGCAGGGAAGGGTTGGGGCATGTCCGGGCCTGGCTAAATATTTTCCCCACCCGCCATTCTTTTCCATTCTTCCCTCCTACCGTCAGAAGGAGCTGCTCAAACGCTCACCCCAGCAGTTTCCTTTTCCGCAGAATCGGGTTGTTGACCGAGTGCAGAGGCTTGAGGCTCACTTGGAGATCCTGTATTCTCATGTTTGCCAGTTGCTCCGCGTGTGCCTGCTGGATCCCGGCAACCATGGCCTGTTAGGATTGGAGAACAGCAGTTAATCGTTCGGGTTTTCAACTTGCGGTGGAAGGACGGGCTTGAGCACAAGGCAGGGACCCCCTCCGGGGCCAAGAGCCCCTTGGGAAGATCCCCAAAGAAAAATCAGCTTGAGAGCATCAACTGGAAAGCCAGAGGATGGGAGTAACATTTGCAAAGGCTCCGACTGCAACTCCCTCCCAGGGTTTCCACTCCTTTACTTCAAAAAGCATCACCTGAGGTTTGAGGAAGGAGGACCTTGCTGGAACCTCTAGGCCCCTGGAAGGAAGGAAGGAAGGAAGGAAGGAAGGAAGGAAGGAAGGAAGGAA